GGGGGGGCAGGGGCCGCAGCCGGTGTGCGAGTCACAGCCCACACCAGGGAAGCATCCCTGGGTGCAGGGGTCTGGAGGGTCCTGGCAGAAGGGACCCGAGTAGCCACCCTCGCACCTGCAGGCTGCCAGCTGGGAAGGGGATGGTGACACTGGCTTAAGGGACATGAGGAAGACAGGGGGACAGAGAAGACAGCCAGCGTGGCTGGCATGGGGACAGGCATGGTGTGGCACCGGAGGAGCTTTCCAGCATGCTACCTGCAGGGAGGACCCCCCGAGGGTGACGGTGTCACTGTAGTCACACTCCTGGCTCCTGCTGCAGCTGCAAAGGGTGAAGCGGAGCTGGAGGAGGGCGGAGAGGTTGTTGGACCCGACAGCCTCCAGGTTGATGGTGGGTGGGGCCGTCCCGCGGGGCTCCCACGTCAGGGTGCCGCTCTCTGCCGGGGGGAGAGGTGGGAGTTAGAGGAGGTGGCAGAGGAAAGGGGCTGGGTAGCTGGTGTCCCCCCATCCCATCCCAGCTGCCCCATCTCTCCTTCCTTACCTGATATGTTGAGCTCTGGCGAGAGGTGGGGGATAAAGCGTGCGCCCACCCCCACGGCACGGTACTGCCTCCTGACCCTTTCTGTCCTGAAGGCTGTGAGTGACGCGTCACCGGTGATGATGGGAGGGAAGGCACCTGACAAAAGAGCAGTCCAGCACACAGCTGGTTGTTTGCTACGTGGCTTGGCATCCCTTGGCTCTGAGTCCCTCCTGGTGAGGATGGGACCCCAGGCAGATGCTGCCATGACCACCCACCAACATGGCCCTCATGTTGCACAGCATGGTGGCATCTCCCAGGCTTGGAGACCAGCCAGCCAGGCAATGCAACTCTGAGACTTTGGTGACTTCTCTCCTGCCTCAGATGGAGCAAGAGACCCCAGGGAGGGAGCAGGGCACTGCCCGGTTAGCCAAGCCATGCCCTCTTGGAGGTGAGGATCTGCTCCACTTACTGAGTACTGTCTTCTTCTGCTGGAAGTCGGCTGCAAGGCTCTGGGTGGACAGGCCCAGGGCCACGTCCCCTGTGCTCAGCGAATCGTAGATACACTCCTTGCTGCCGTGGCACTGTGAGGCTGCCAGCTGGTACTGGCTTTCATTCTCCTGCCGCAGCCAAGATAAGAAGATGGGTGTGAAGTTTGTGACCAGTGAGTCCAGAGGCTGAGCAAACACGCTGTGCTCTCCAACAGCCCCTGCAAGAGAGCACACCATGGGTATGGCCTTGGGTTTTTAAGGTTTGTTATATTTTAGGACTCATTTCCACAGAGCAGTGAGGACACCAAAGGACTTCCCTGGCATCACGTTTGCTCAGGCAAGTGTCTAAATATCTCCAGCCAAAGCATGGCCAGAAGGTGAAGGAATGGCGGAATCGTCAAGGTGCATCCTGAGCCCGGACTTACAGGTCATCCCGTAGCTGTAGATCTCCTCCTCGCTGCTGTTGACAGGGATGCTGGTACCGTTTGGCATCTGGAAGTCATCTGCAGGGTCGTGGTCCCACACACCTGGTGGAGCATAACCAGAGGACTGGAGTCCCCCATGCTGGGATTGACCCCTCTGGTGCTGACCAGTGTTTAGTTTAGACCCAGGGGTTCCTGCCCTCACAAGCATGTTCCCCCAGCATTTTCCAGCCTACTTAAGGGTAGGAAGGGGACTTTGCACCCCGGCTCTGCAGTGGTGCCAGAAGTCCTCACCCAGGAGGCCCTTGGTGCTGTTGCGGTACCAATCGGGCAAGCTGCAGACCACACTGAGGATCCCGGAGGTGGCTGAGATGGAGACAGCGATGGCCCCGCTGAAGACGGCTGTGACAGAGGAGGCGTTGACCAGCAGGACACCAGGGCTGTAGTACACCTTGGCATCCATGTCTGCAAGAGAAGGAGAGCACAGAGGGAGAGTCCACGCAAGGCTGGGGTCTGAAACTATGCCCCTGAATTTGGGGAGGGGAGTGCTCCCCATCCACCCAGGCTGAGTCAGAGACAGGGTGCAGGTGGGAGACGTTTGATGGAGCTCAGGATGGCTACCCTTGTGCTGGGCAGGGCTGGTTCCCGTGCAATGGAGTCACCCCTTGTCCTCCCCAGATACATTTAACATTTAACAGCACATCCTGCTCACCTTGGGAATAGGAAAACTGGATGGTTTCATTGTTCAGGAGGACTTGGATGTCACCCTGGCTTCCCAAGGTCCACTCAACCTGCAAATCATGGAAGATGTCCCAGTCAGTCCCTCTGCTCGTCCTTTCCTGCCGTCCCCCCATGCTGGGGACACTCAAGCTAAACCCCATCCTCCTCCAGCCCTGGCAGAAAGGCTCAGCCCTGGGGGCCATGTTGGCGTGCTCTTCATCCCAGCAAACACACGAAAAAGCAGCTTTGATGGTTGCATAGAAGAGGACAGCAAACTGCCCCCCATCACTGCTGGCATGGGGCACACACAGGCCACCACTGCTGCTTGGCTGGCCACGGCAGCGTGGAGAGCTGTGCTGGTGGGCTCCAGGCTCTGAGCCCCCCCTCATGCTGCTGAACAGCCGCTTCTGGTGACACCAGGAGGTTTTGCTTACTGAAACGGGTGTGAGGAGCAATTCTACAAAACAAGGAAGAGTACACGCTTGTGCTAACGTGTTCAGAGGAGACTGGTGGTCGGGGCGAAGGGTGTGCAATGAAGAGGGTGGAGCAGACCACGTTTCTGCAGAGCTCCAGGCCCTTGCTGGTCAGCTTGTAAGAGGTATTAAAGCTGTGTCTCCTTAGTCTTAGCCCAACCCACGCTATTAGCACTTTGTTGGGCTCAGGGGAGGTGACAGGAAGAGGAGAAGGGATGTTCCTAAGGTCCCAGCCATGTAGGTGATGCAGAGGCGATGCCCAACCTACCAGAGGGGTGTCTCCTGTTAGAAGCTCAAACTGATACCCAGGTTGCTCCTACTCACTGTCGTGGTGGTGGTAGAGATGTACTGGGCAGCGAAGGCCACGAAGTTGGTGGCCTGGGCTGTGCCTGTCCGGGCCGTGCGCCCGTGCAGCACAAAGCTGGTCCGGACATCACTGGCCAGCAACAGGACAAAGTCCCCGAGCCCATTGAAGGTGTAAGTGAGTCCATCCAGGGTGGTGATGTGGGGGTCCCCGAAGGCACCAGCTGGGGTCCAAAGGAGACAGAGCCGTTTTAGGGGGAGGAGGAAAAGCAAATGCTGGTGTCATTGCATGTCGGAGAGCAGCCCGCCGTGCTGCGCTGGGCTCAGCAGTCCCCACTGGGATGCTGCAAAGTGCGGTTAATGCATGGGGTCCATATACAGCCGTGCCACACACTCAGTACCCTGGCACAGAGGAGGTAGAGCCCTGGGGACTCACCAGGGGTGGGCGGCACGTATCCCTCGCAGCCGACCCTCGGTCTCTTCTCAGCAAACCTGGTGCAGAACAGGGGCTTCCCCACACGCCGGCAGCACCAGTCGAATGCCTCCAGCTCCCCGTCTGTGGAGGAAGGCAGTCAGGCGCTGAGGGCTGTCAGGGTCCCTGCTGCACCTGCAGAGCACTTGCTCAGGGTGATTTAGGGTGAGGGAGTGCCGGTGTCCGCTTACCAGTGGCGGGGTGGATGGGGAGGCTCCATGCTCTCTCCTGCCAACCTTCGAGCAAGCTCCCCTCTTGGTACAGACACCGCACCCCGGCTCCAGCCGGGCTGGGGGATGCAGTGCGCAGCATCCTCACGGAGGTATCTGCCAGGCCTGAAATGGTGTGGGGGGATCACGGCCGCCCCCAGAGCAGGAGGGGACCCCGTGCCGCCCCCCCCCCCCGTGACTGGCCCTTGCGGGGCTGTGCTTCGCACCTCTGCTCCAGCGGTAGCGGAGGTCCAGCTCTGCCTGGGGCCCGGAGCAGGGGCATGGCGGCAGCTGGCTGTTCCAGGCCGATGGAGCTGGCTCAGCATCCAGCCATGCCAGGCACCGCAGCCTGTAGTTCACCCGGGAATGACTGTCCAACCTGTATATCCACAGCCCACGCACATCTGGGGGAGCAACCAGAGAAGAGCACAGCTGGGGGTTTCGCCTTGCGCTGAGGGGGATCCTGTGGGACAACTGTCCCCAGCCACTGGCCACACATGAGGTCTCCAGGCTCCCTCTAGAGCCAGTGTGGCCGTGGCAAGCCACAGCAGGACACGGGACACCCGTGCTCTGCTCTGGGTGGCCAGCCCTTGCCTGGTGACTTTGCCGGCCCATCGCCTCGCAGGGACACCTGCTGGGGACATGCTCCCGGTGCGGAGCACGCATCTCCCTCCATCCCCACCCACCCCAAGGGCTCCCCAGTGCTGTACCAGTGTCGGTGCCGGTGTACTGGTCGGGTCGATACTTGACAGCTGGTAGCTTTTGAGTCAGCTCGTTATTTTGGGCATAGCCATCGCCGCTGTGTGGAGAGAGGAGGTTTGGGATCACCCTCCCAACACAACCCTCCTCCGCTCCCCGTAGAGCAGCTGGGGTGGGAACTGCTGCGGTTTGCGGGAGAGAGGGTTTAAACAGGACAGGGTTGCTCCAGGGGTGGGAGCTGGGCTCTCATGGGGATAACATCTCTGATGGTCCCAACTTAGTGCTGGGAGAAATCCCTGCTGTCCCAAAAATGCAGCTACACATGTGCACAGCACCTGGAGAAGCCGATCAGGACATTGCCCACAGCCAGCTTGGCGTAGTCCCACCGCATCCCACCGTCCTGGTAGAGCAGCAGGGCAAAGGAACGGTTCCCATCGGTGGTGAGGACCGCCTGGTAGGTGCTCGTCTGGAGAAACCCAAGGCACCCCCTTAGTACCCCCAAAGCCTCCCCTGCTCTCCCCACAGTGCAGACTGAGGTGGTGAGACCCAAAATGCCCGCATCAAGCCACAGGAGACCAGCAGCCCAGCCCTGCCCTGGCCATTGCCTGGTGACAGTCCCCTCCATCACCTGGGTCCCCCACTGCTCACCTGAGTGTCACCCTGCTGGGATGGGTACGCTGGAGCCTTCTCCCACGTCACCTTCAAGGTCCATTTTGCTATGTAGGGGGTTTTCAGGTATTTCTCAATCTTTGCTTCCACGTCATGGATGATGGGGTCTCGGGTAGGGCTGAGGGTGGAGTACTCCTGCTGGTTGGCAAGAGAGAGGGTTAAATGGGCGAGCTGGGAGCTGGACTCTCCCAGGAGAACGTCTTTGGTGGCCCCGACCTGGTACCAGGTGGTGCCGACACCCTGGGAGAAATCTGCGTCATCCCAAAAGGCAGCCACCATCGGCAAACTCTCCTGGCCGCTGAAGCCCCGGGGAGGTGGGTTGGGGTTGGAGGGGACGTAGTTGTCCGTGGGTGGGAAAATGATCTGTCCGTTATCTGTAAACTAACCAAAATAACACATTATTTTCTGACATCCCAGGCAGCTCCTAGGATTGCTTTTAGCCTCCATGGGTGAGCAGAAACCAGCCATTTTAAATTGCAAAAAAATTAACATTTGGATGAAATTCCATTTCTGCTCCATTTCCATAGGTTTTTTTCTACTAAAGAAGCTGCACATCCCTTACATGCTCAGCGAGGGGGAACTCACGTAGAGAACATCCCGCAGCGACTTCCCGAAGGGGAACCCAATCTCTGGCTTGAACAGGGGGGAGTTAAAATCCACCGTCCTCTGGATGCACTCTTGGTCCCCTTCCTCTGTGCCAAAGGGGTAGAGCAAGGCTGCCGGCACTGACACAGGAAGGAGATTAATCGAAAAGGTGAAAAAACATTCATGTCTGCTCTATCCTTCCCGTGGCCAGGGCAAACTTGCCTGCTTGCCGCCAGGATGTTGTGCCTGCGCTCCCCCCAGCTGGACCAGTGCTCTGATGGCTTATAACACAATTTTTAACACAGCTTTTAACTTGGAATAGGATGCTCTCAGATGTCCTATTTCACCTTTCCCCATGAATCTGGCAGCCCAACATGCAATGCAGATGAGTGACCCCGGGCTAGGCTGTACTGTCAGCCATCATGGTGCGTGGTTGGCTGACAACCCCTTCCTGCTCTTTGCTTTGGGAAGAAGAAAATCTACTTACTGATAAGCCCACGGGTGGGTTGGGGCTCAGGGGCAGGATTTCTGTGGCCAGTGGTGGTGTGGGCAGATGTGCTTGGTGCTGTGGCTGGTCCCCTCTGTGTCCCAAA